AACGCAAGAGAGAGAGCTGTTCATCGAATTTTCGTGCGTGTGCAGAACGCAAGAAAATGTCAGGATTGAAAGGGATATAAGCAAAAAAAAAAGGTAAATATGTCTTACTTAATTCGACGAAGAAATCGTATGGTATCAATCCAAAATTGTTCTGTAATATCATCATGACCTGTATAATTTAATGCTTCAAGTCGATAAGTAACATGACGTGTTGATGTTAATAAATGATGTACTGTTTCAACATTTAAATTTACTGTATTACTTAAATCAAGTGCTCGACATCCATTTAATGTACCTCGATCGATTATTAAATTTAATACCTTAAAAAAATAAAAAAAAATAAAAGAAGAATATTCTTATGAAAGATAACGAATACAATATAGAAGCAAAAGAAAAAAACCAGCATGATTACCTACCTTATCAGTAAAACCATCACAATAAGAAACTGCTAAATATGTAAGTTTTGGTACAACAGAAAAAAAATCCAATAGACCATTTTCACTTAATTCTGTTGATGAAATATCTAATTCAGAAAGTTGAGTTGATGACCAATTAACAGCAACCATTGCTTCATCTTGAATACCTATCAATATCAATTACAAAATTAATTTTATATCACAAGTAGAGTTCATCGGATGTCAAAATTTTTGAACCTGATCGAACTGCATTTTAATATTCTCAATGAAATTTTCTAATCGGAATTAGATAGTCGCTCCGAAGATACGAGATACTTTTTTCTTTAGACTTTTTGTATTTGATGATTAGCGCACGCTGTACACAGTTTTCAGACGACTAGAGCCCAACCCAACGAGTTATAATTATAAGTGTTCAAAACAAAAAAATCTAATAAAAACTCGTCTATTTCTTCGCATAACTTCGTCAAGGACATATATCGATAAGACAACATTGTTGATAATATTTTTTCTGTAAATATCAAACGTCAAGTTATTATTAATAATTTATCAATCAAAATAGAATTGTGTATACCGCCTTTGAAATGTCTATTAAACTATGTTCATTATTATTCTTACCCGTATTTTGTAATAATAAACATTGTAATTTTGTACAACGATTCATTAAATTTTTAAAACTTGTTCCACGTATTCTAATACAAAAATTTAATGCAAGACATTGAAGATGCATACAACCAGATGCAATTAGTTCAATATGATTATCATCAATAAAACCAATACCATATAAATTAATAACACGTAAATTTGGTGCATGTGTTTTTATTTTACTTATATTTATTGTTTCAAATGTATCAACTTCTTCTGATGATGATGATGATATTGAAGTTTTTTCTATTGTACCAATAATATGTAATGTATTTAATGAAGATATATATCCATAAATTCGACGCATAAAAGCTTCAAGAAAAAATAACTTCAGATAAACAAATACATAAACGTTTAAGATTACATGGAAATTCATTTAATTCACTAAAATCATGTAATTGCATTGCTGATGAAAAATCAAGTGTTAAATATTCTAAATTAGGACAATGTAATGCTAATACACGTAAAATTTCAACTGTAACTAATTCAACAGGTAAATCAATATAAATAAGTGATGATGCACAACGTGTACCAAGCATAGAAATAAATTTATCAATATGTCGAACATGAACTGCACCAATATGACCATTTGTACAATCAGGACGTAAAAAAAGACGACGCCATAATTGTTGATGATGTGAAACAAGTAGATACCGACGATAACATACGACTTTATTTGGTTGAAAATAATTGAAAAATGATGAATTTATATGTTGTAGTCTGTTTCGTTTTTACTTATCTTTTTACGATCGACCATAGATAGAAAAAAGAAAGAATTTAAAGTTATAAATAGACGTATATAATGATGTA